CTATATATGTGTGTGTGTGTGTGTGTGTGTATATATATATATGTGTGTGTGTGTGTGTGTGTGTGTGTGTGTGTGTGTGTGTGTAAATATAATAATAGTAATATCCATGGATTAAATAAACCGTTCCTCTGTGACGGCGTGCAGCACTAGAAATTTATATTTAAGTTTTTATTATCAATCATCCAAGTTCAATGTTATAGCAAAGTTCAGTCATTTTAAAACGGTTTTATGAGGATTTTTTAATCACATATACTAGTACAAAATTTCAACGGCTAAGTGCGTGTATCGGGCTAGTTGAGCAGGAATGAACATATGATTTGGACAGTGTAACTTCGAGATGTAAACGGTTCTTTGCACATACATCTATGTGAAATAACAAGGTTTATTTTCTCTGTGTTTTGTTGTTCTTAGGTCTTGCAGCAGTGTTCGGATGGACGTTGGAAAGGCATCATTTTTCATAAAAAACACACATCTCAGACAGGTTACTTTCCAGCAACTGCTGTTCAGCTTCTAGACCGACCAGGTAATTCACTGCTTCTTGTAGTTTTTCTTTTACACTGTCTTAATAGTTTGTTAGCATACATGAACAGCAGTGTTCGGATGGACGTTGGAAAGGCATCATTTTTCATAAAAAAACACGCATCTCAGACAGCTTATTTTCCAGCAACTGTTTGTTCAACTTCTACACCAACCAGATAATTCACTGCTTCTTGTAGTTTTTCTTTTACACTGTCTTAATAGTTTGTTAGCATATATGAAACTTAAAGGCTGCGACTGTAGCTTTAAGATTGCTGCAACGTTTATGTAACTTAAAATTCACAGAAGTATCTTTATAACCACGAAGTTAATACAGTTTTTTTTTCTATAAATTTGAGGTTTAAGTTTGCCGCACAGTATTAATATTATACTAATATACTAATGAGTATATTTTTATAGAATCTATATATGTACCATGGTAGTTCGTGAGTGCCATTAAAAAGTGTTTTTGTATAGAATCTATGTACCTACCACGGTAGTTCGTGAGAGCCACTAATTAGTGTATTTATATAGGATCTATATACCTACCGTGGTAGTTCGTGAGTGCCACTGATTAGTGTATTTGTATAGAATCTATATACCTACCACGGTAGTTCGTGAGTGCCACTGATTAGTGTATTTGTATAGAATCTATGTACCTACCACGGTAGTTCGTGAGAGCCACTAATTAGTGTATTTATATAGGATCTATATACCTACCGTGGTAGTTCGTGAGTGCCACTAATTAGTGTATTTATATAGAATCTATATACGTACTGTGGTAGTTCTTGAGTGCCACTGATAAGTGTATTTGTATAGAATCTATGTACGTACCGTGGTAGTTCGTGAGTGCCATTAGTTTGTATAATTGTTTGTTTAACGCCATCTGACTGTTCGCGTGTGGCTAGCTAGATATTGATGGATATATAAACTGTTTGTAAGAAACATGACAGAACGCATTAGCGAACTATTTTGAATTATAAATAAAAGGTGTAATAAATAATATATAATAAGATCTTACACTTTCCAATATTATGAGCGTGGTTCAAAAATGCTTTCTGATGTAAATTTTCTATGATATACGAGGTCCCCTATGGCCTTACAACTCTAAAATCCGGGTTTCGATTCCACCCGATGGACACAGCAGATAGCCCAAAGTGACTCTGCTCTAACACACAAACAAACAAGCACACATCTGAGAGAAATTAATGTTGGATATGAAAGAATGCGAGAATCGCTTTCTTATGTTTTTTTTTATATATATACATAATAGTAATTCGAGAATGGTCCCTCACTGCTGACTTGCCGTATTTGGTAACCGAATTTCTTCCTCCGATATCGAAATGTTCATGTAACTTTGTGCCGTACTCTACTTCTGTCTTATCTACTGTGCAACGGTGAAGTTTTAACCTTTCACACGAAACGTTTTTTTTTTTTTTAAGTAAATAGTTTTACTCACGTGACAGCATCCAGTTTGTTTTGTATATAAATTTGTGTAACGGGAAACTTGAGGAAGAAACTCATATTGAGATATTTTTCAAAGACGAAAATAAAATGACATTTGTCGTTATGCGCTAATCTCATTCACAATGTGTGCGTCAGTTCATTTACTTGACAAACAGGCACGTGGAACACGACCCGTTCTTCAAATACTTAAATGCTTATTTACTCCCCCCCCCCCTGGAGATAACTGAAATATGAGATATGTAGCAGCTGCTGCTTTTCTTTACGCATACATAAAAATATATATGCGACGCTAATCCCTATTTTCGATATTATCAGACATATAGTGACTGCTTCTGTCAATGTACTGCAGTTCGAAACCGAATTATCAAATATGGTATTGAAAATAGGGCGTCATTATATGCTGACCATTAAGCGGTATCGGGTGTGAAATGAAGTAATCTTCTATCGTGTGAGTGGGACTTGGCTGTTTGAGTGTATGAATCAATAAAGTGCCCATTAAATGGTTTACACACGTGTGTGTGTGTGTATATATATATATATATTGTAATTATTATGTATTTCGTTTTGTGTATAAAATCTTTTATTTCCTATAACCTTTAAATGCTAATATCTTAAATAATAACACACAAAATAAATGTACTTAAATACAAATTGGTAGTAATTACGATTCACTTACTTAATCTAGTACACACAGTAACAGTTCTTGTTCATGAAATTTATATATATTAAGTAAGTGAATTGTAATTACTACCAATTTTTATTTAAGTACCTTTATTTCGTGTGTTATCATTTAAGATACTAACATTTGAGTGTTGTAGGACATAAAAGATTTTATACACAAAACGAAATACACCTAGACCACTGTCATGTTTGTCATTATCCCAACCAACCTGTTTAGTCCTGGTCGTAAACGAAAGGCCTCGTCGGCACTGAGTGAATATGACAGATGTAGTGTGATTGACACATTATTATTGCTTTTACTCACAAGTTCTTAAAATTAAAACATGTCCTTCTTTTTTTTTCTACACGGTAGTTGCTTCACGTAAAACGTAGAGAGTTAGATAAATAATATGTGTCATTATGGTTTGAATTTTAAAAATAAATAATGATAATTACACTGACTCTTTTTTAGCCCTTCACTTGTGGTCATAAACACAGAGAAGTAGTTAATTCCAGACCTTGGTTAAAGTCGTGACGTTGAACATCATCACCCCTCCTACAAAACAACAGCTAAGAATTGATATTATATATATATAAAACTATATTTCCCTTTATCCTCCCATCACATGCCTCGACCCCCCCCTCTCTTCCTTGGCTCATATGGACGCGTCTGAGTCTTATTGTAGGTAAGCTTTTTGTATTTACAAAGAAAAGGGGAAGAAATACCGTTCTGATGCTGACTGCCGGGAGCTTTTAAAGAGGGTGGACTTTTAGATATAGAAAAAAAGCGAGAAAATTACAAAGGTCATTTAGGCTTAGTTCCTTTTCCACACTTTTCTTTTAGTGCAGCCTAACGGTACTAGTAACCTTATAACAGTTATAAACTTATAGGTGATTTAACAAAATATATATATGGATACATCTGTAATCCTAGCACGACAAAATTAGTTTTTGCTTGCCACGAAATCTCCAACTGAGTTAATATACCAACTCTAGAAAAAAAAAAAAATTAAAATGTTGAAATAGTCATAGTGTGCGAAGTTCTACGAATTTCAGTTGCAGATGTGTTCTGAGAAAGCAAGAGAACGGAATTGTGAAAGTGGACCAGACAAGGCCACATAATGACCCTGATGAGTACAAGAACAAATAGCGTTGCAGCACGAGCTTTTTGCAGTCTCGCCGGGATCAGTAGTTCATTCGAAACGGATGTGTACATTGAATAATAATACGAGGGAAAAGCGTGACTCATTCTATGTTGTTTGAACGAAAGAACCATGCTACTTATCAGGTACTAGGCTTAATTTTGAACTTTTCACCCTGGTATTGAACAATAGAAATAGAACGATAATAGTGATCTTTAATAGCGGACTAGGTGATTTTAGAAATTGCTTTTTTTCTTATCGAGTTCTTATCATTACATAGCCATTCAGTTTAAACTCAACAATCGTTATAAAGCTTCTTGTAATGAGGCAGAGAATACGTAGTTTTCGTGCTAGCTCTTGTAACGATGGGGAAGAAAAAATAACATCGAAAAATCATAATCAACGCAAAGTACTGGGTAAGTACTGTTTTACTGACCTCGTTTATAACAAGTAAATTTCTACGTATAAGTTGTATAGTTTACGGTTAACAAACGAAAAAAAATAATGCTAGCAATATGCACAAGCCAATAACAACACCCGATGTAGTTATTTAATACTTCATGTATTTGTTGCTCTGTACTTTTGTAGATAATTACGAAGGAGCCAGTAACATCACGTTAACTGTTGATAATTCGATACTGAGAGGTGAAATTAAGAAAGAGGAGCTCTGACAATTCATTTTATAAGCAGTACGTGGTGTAGTACAGAGCAAACAGTTTTTACATAGGGTAGTACATAGTAAACTGTTTTTACATAGGGTAGTACATAGCAAACAGTGTTTATACGTAGGGTAGTACATAGTAAACAGTGTTTTTACTTAGGGTAGTACATAGCAAACAGTGTTTTTACTTAGGGTAGTACATAGCAAACAGTGTTTATACGTAGGGTAGTACATAGCAAACAGTGTTTATACGTAGGGTAGTACATAGCAAACAGTGTTTATACGTAGGGTAGTACATAGTAAACAGTGCTTATACGTAGGGTAGTACATAGTAAACAGTGCTTATACGTAGGGTAGTACATAGCAAACAGTGTTTTTACTTAGGGTAGTACATAGCAAACAGTGTTTATACGTAGGGTAGTACACACCAAACTGTTTTTACGTAGGGTTGTACATAGTAAACCGTTTTTACGTAGGGTTGTACATAGTAAACCGTTTTTACGTAAGGTAGTACACAGCAAACACTGTTTTTCTAAAAGCAGATCATCAAGCGTTAAAAGCCATAGGTGTACAAAATTTTTGATACAAGTGAAAGAACGAAAAGCCTTAAAAGCTTTCTGTCACCTTTAGAGTTTGTTTTTTCATACAAATACTTTTTAGGTTGTTGCATGCTGTTGCTGAAATATACATATATCGTGTGTATTCAACTTCTGAACCTTCATAACTACAGAACACATACATATTTACGCACTGTAAAGAGATTATAGATTACTGAGTATATTTTATTGCCTCTGTTTTAATAACGTCTGACTGAAGTTAACTTCATAGTCATTTGTGCTAAAACATTAATACTGATTGCTATACCTAATATCTGTGATGAAACTTGACGTTTGTTATGTTGTGTTTATAATCTCTTTATTAAACCAGTTTATCATTCTTCAAGTTAAGTTTGTTGACGTAAACAGTATTATCTGATATCAACGTTAATATGTCTCCCGATTTATCAAAGGATTTTAACTAAACCTTATGTGATCATTTAAAAAAAAACATTATCGTTAATAGCCTGCAATTTCGCTC